GAGCGTGGCCTGCCCTGAGACAGGCAAGATAAGGGGACAAAGGAAGACAAAGGCCGAGTGTCCGGAATCCTGCAGGAGGGAGGGACAGCCCCAGGGGAGAGGCTCTCAAGGCCTCTGGGTGGGGCCGGCAGTGGGCAGGCCTCCCCCCCCCCCCCAGGGAGGCCAGTGGGGGGTCTGTCTGCCCTCCCACCACGCAGAGCGGTGTGTGTCTCCCATCTGTCCTGCTCAGTGACGACCCCAGGGGTGGCTGGCATCTGCTGACCAAAATCGGGAGGGGCCGGCCTCCCACCCCTTCTCATAGGTGCGTGGGGGCACAGCAGCAATAGGTCTGCACCCCAGGGCGAGAGACGGCAGCCTCTGGGTCAGACACAACCCAGGGGAGGGCAGAAGTCCTGGGGACAGAACCCTGTCTCCTGCTCGGCCTAAGATCAGCCTTTGGACAGGGATGAAGAAACTGGGACGCAAGGCCACACCCGGAACCCCGAGGGGCAGTTGTGAAACCCGACCTGCGGAGAGCCTGAGCCTGCGGAGCTGCAGGCTCTGGCCAGATGTGCTCGGTCAGCTCTGAACACGTGTTGGTTTTAGAAGCAGAAAAATAAACCAAGAGCACTGTTGTCCTGCAGTGACCCCGGACTGGCCACAGGCCCCCCAGTGACCCACCTCCGTCCACAATGGCCTCGTAGGCCGCCTCCAGCAACAGGCGCAGTTGGGGGTCCATGGTGTGTGCCTGCTTGGCGTGGACCCCGAAGAAGGTGGCGTCAAACTTGGACAGGTCCTTCAGCTTGCCAGCCCGCCGGGGCAGGCCATACAGTCCTGTGGATACAGGCAGGGGGAGGCTGTCACAGGCCCAGGGGACAGGCAGGGAGTTGTGGGTATGCGCCCCAGACAGGCGGGCAGGAGCCCCACTGCCCAGGCCGCAGACCCCCCGCCTGGCCTCCTCCTCGGGGCCGGGCTCCGAGGCACTGACTCACACCCCGCAGATCAGGTAGGACGGCTCTGCGGAAGGGCCTGCAGGCACAAGGGAGTCAAACCAGCTTCCCCAGAGCCGAGCGTGTTATCTAACCTCGGACACGTGGGCCGGCGGTGGCCCAAGGCTCTGCAGGGACAGGGTGGTGGGCGGGCAGGGGCGCTGACCCACTTGGCCTTGCCCTGCCCTGCCCCAGCTCCAGACCCCAGCAGGTCACCTAACCCAGGGCAGAAACAGGCAAGGCCGCACACCAGGCTGACCCGCAGCCTCCAGTGGCTGGAGCCCGGACCCCACTGCTGCCCCAGCCCCAAGAGGAGCCAGGCAGCCGCAGACGGCAAGGAGAGCAGCGCCGGCCACCCACTCACCGGCCTTCCATCGCCGGTCGTCCTCTGTCACCATGTCCACACCGCCAATGAGGTTCGCCCAGAACTCCTCCAAGTTGTCCGACTCGGGAAGCTTCCCGGACATGCCGGCGATCACCACCTCCTCCATGCTGCTCCCTGCAGGGCCCAGACATGGCTCAGCTCGGCCTGCACCACCCACCCCTCCACGTGGCCCACCCACAGGTCTGAGAGTGGCAGCTCAGAAAGTCCCAGACCAAGGGGCGGACGCCCACACGGACACCCCGGTTACGTGTGCAGGGGGTTGGGGGATGGCAAAATCTGATCCATCAGGCCCTTACCTCCCGCGGTGGCTCGGCACTGGCCTATCACAGCTGAGGCCCTGGCCTGGGGTGACCCCACCACAGGCTACTGCCTGCACCCACCCGTGGCAGCCAGGGCCCCAGCGACCTCCCACAGGAGGCCACCCAGCCAGCTCAGCACAGGCCCAGGGCTCAAGTGGGGGAAGGAGAAGAGGCGCCAAAGTCCAATGGAGGAAAATGTAGGGCAGGGAGGACACCAGCCCGCACGGAGCAGTCCTGCACTCAGCCCTCCCTCCATGCATTTGGCCCACAAGAACAGCTTGGAGCTTCCAGGACTCGGGGGGAACCGAGGACCAGGGGCAGCCAGGGCAGAACAGGTTTGGAGGCCTGGCAGGGCTCTGGGGGAAAGGTGGCCTAGGTGCCACGATGGGCCAACCTGGAGAGCCTCTCCTGCTCAGGTGCTAGCAGTGTTGCCCAGGCTGTGTACCTGTGCAGGTAAAGCTGCAGGATGCCCCTAGCTTAGCTCCTCGTAGCCGACCTGACCACCTAGACCCAGGTTCCCAAGGCACATCTAGAAGAAGCACCCGGCCACCCTGAGCTTGTAGTGTCCGCGTAGCCCCTGAGGGTCGGTCGGGGGCAGAGCTACGGTTGGTCTAGCAACTTCCACCAAGGCCCCAGGGCCTCTCGATGCTAACGACCCGTGGCCCGGCCAACCACCGACACTCCCAGGTCTCTCTGAGCAAGGGTGGGTGGGTGGAGGACAGCAGTGACTTCCTTGGGTGGCCCAGCACCCCGCTGTCCCGGTAGGGAGGGAGCCTCCTCCCCCAGCGCTGAATAAAGAAAGAGTCCTTTACCCGCCCAGGGCACCAGCTCCCAGGCGGCTGCTTCCTCCAGAAAGCGCCGGCTCTGTTCTCCCCTACTTACTATTCACCAGGAGTCCAGCGGCGGAGGAGGTGGGGGTGGAGACCCCCGCAGCGCGCCCCGCCCCGCCGCCACCGCACCCAGCAGAAGCTGCTCATCCCCCAGAACTTTGGGGGCTCGGGGCTGCGCACACGTGGTGGGAAAACCTGTCCGTACCCGGCTCTGGGGCCTCCCGGCCATCTCCCTCCCTTCTTCCCGGCCCTCCAGTTGGCTGAAAAGACGCCCCTGGGTTGGACTGAGCCTCGGCTTCCCAGCTGTCGGGGCGCGGAAGGTGCTACGGATGGAGGGACCCAGCGGCCCAGCCCGCATGGAGACTTTTGTGGGCGCTGAGGCCGGGCGCGCACTGGACGGCGGGGGATTCTACCGGTCCTCGGCCCACCTCGAGACCAAAATGGCTGTTCGCGGCCCTCCCCGGCGTCCGCCCCTCGCCATCGCCCACCTGTCCCACCGGGCCTGGGGCGCGGCGCGCAGGCCCTTCACCGCCGGCCCCGGAAGGTCCGCGGTGGCTCGCCCAACAGACCGGGGCTCGGACCGCGAGACCCGGGGGCCTCTTGGAGCGACCCCTCACCACGGGCGGAAGGTGCGCTTTCTGAGGCGGGAGAATGCGGGCTGGGGTCCACCCCGGAGCCCGGCCGCGCCGTCCCGGCCCCGAACCCGGCCCGGTCCGGCCAGGGCCGCAACCCGGCCCTCCGCTGGTACCTGATCTGGGCGCGGGCGGCAGTGCGGACGGGCGGCGGAGAGCGAGGATGGAGCACCGCGGAGGAGGGGAAGCCGGACCGCTGCCGTCTCTCTGGCTCCCTCTAGGCCGGCGCCGACTCTATTTAACTGCGGCCGTCCCCGAGCGGACACGCCACATGGGCTGACAGCTTGGCTGCGCCTCCCAGGCCAATGAGCGTCGGGGCTGCGCCCCGGGACCCGGCGCGCCGCCGCCAGTGGGGTGATGCGGCGCGCCGCCGGCGCGCGCCAGGACCCTTCGCGGGGGCGCGCTCGGGGGGGGGCGCTGAGATGGTGGGCCCGTACTTCCGTTCCCCGTTTGGAGGGCACGTGGCGTGCCCCCGTCCAATGCCTTCCCGGGCCGCCCCCACCCCCAGGGCCAAGGGTACCACGTGTGCGTGGCACAGGGGTGAAACCGAATGGGATGTGTTTGGGCCACTAGGGGGGTCACCCTGGGGCCACACTGGGAGCCAGGCAGACTCTGAAAACGAACGCACGAGCTCGCGTCCCAGCCGCGCAGAGCGGAGTGGGGCGTGGCTCGCTCGGCAGCCGCGCCCAATCGGTGGCCGGGGGCGTGCTCGCGGGCTTAAAGGGCGGTGCGCGAGTGGGCGTTGCTAGGCGATAGGGTGATGGGCGGGTCTCCTACTGCGCGGGACGCCGCGGACTAGCGCGGTCGTTGACCCGGCCAGAGCCCCCGGAGGGGTTACTGCCGGTCAGCGCAGCACGGACCTGGTCCTTCTTGCCCTGCTGTCCCACGTGGCGGTGCCGGCGCGAGAAACCGGGGACCCCTCGGAGGCCCGGCAGTAGCCGAGCGGGCGCACTGCCGGCTCCCTGGAGCAGGCCTTGGGGAGGGGGCGCGGCCATCTGGCGACCGGGCTCTTCACCAGCACCACTTGGTGTGGTTCGAACAAAGGAGCCTTCCTGGGCAGAGGCCCTCGCGCGCGCACATGGCCACGCACACCCACGCGCGCGCAGGCGCACCGGCGGAGGCTCGGCCCTGTGCCTCGGCTTTCTGGCGCGCTTTCCCTTGTAATCCTGCTCAGTTACCGACCTGCATTCAGCTCCGGCCCCGCTGCTCTCTGGGGGACTTCGACTCCCGCGCAATGGAGAGAAGGGCAGAAAAAGAAAAAGGGTCAGAGGGCTCCGAGGTCCGACAGCCGAATTGCTGTTCTGAACAGCCTCTCCGTGGGGTTTTCTTTCTCATGATACCTGGCACCCAGAGCCAGCAGTGGCTTGCTCGGGGGCTCTGAGGGTGCTTCTAGAGAAAGTGACCTGGCATCTCTCTATTCACTTTCTCAGCTAAAGGAAGTCACATGGCGACACCTCACTAGAAAAGGCAAAAGTGGAAACAGCAGAGCACTGAGCCCTGCTGAGACGCCCCCCCCCCGCCCCCGGGCAGAACTGCTAGCTTTTGGGGGAGGGTGCCCATGCCCACTTGTGTTCACAGGGAGCTGAGTAAAGCAATTTGATGCACAGGGTGAGGTAGGAGCCACTGAGTCCTGGGTTCTGTGATCCTGGGCCCTGCTTCGGTGCTGCCGTGTGTCCCCGCACCTGTGAGCTAGGCAGGGTCAGGACACTGCAGCCACAAGGACCACCTGATGTGCTCTGGCCATACAGCAGGGAGGTGGGGTGCCACCCTGCTGGAGGCACAATCCCCCCCCGCCCCCCGCAGCCCTCTGTGGGAGCTGGCCACACCCACTGGGAAGCCTCAGACTGCCTTAAGGCACAGCCACCCCCAACCTGGGGTGGGGATGTGGTGCTCCTGTGCCTCGGCAGTGCTGCAGGCAGGAGGTAGAAGGCCTCTGGCCGCGCCAACAAGGTGCAAGCGATGGAGAAGAGGGCCGAGCAGCCCAGGGCTGCCTTCCCACCTGCTGCCCCCAGGACAGGCACCTGTGGCTGGCTGCTGACTCAGCACAGAGTCCCAAGTGTCAGGACTGGTGGTCATGATTCTCGGGACATGGTTTCCTGGTAGGGGAGTTGGATGTGGCCTTGTAATGCTCAGAAGGGGAGGCATTAATTTCTGTGTTTCTCTCTCTTGCAGGTGCTGGGTCTGGGGCCACATCCACCCCAAACATGCAGGACACAGCAAGGGCCCCGTCTGGACACATGGGGTCACCCAGCTCCACCGCTTTCACTGTGGACCCCCCCCCCCCCCCGCCGCCTGCACAGGGCTCTCTGGGGGGCACTTTTGCTGCGGGTGGGCATCTGACTCTGCTTTCTGCCAGGCAGCTGTGGGTGGTGACGCAGCCGCTGGGGAGGCCCTGATGCCGCTTCCCAAGTAGGCCAGGTAAACAACTCCCTCGTGAGCGGGACGGGGAGGCACAGCTTTAATGGGATCTGCACTCGGTCTGCGAGGTGCATCACCAGTGCTGGGGACCCTGTGCTGCGGCTCACAGCACCCCCTGCCTGTGCACACACGCACACACCCCTGCTGTGGAAAGACAGGAGGGAAGGGTTGAAGTCAGTCCTTGAAATTGTAGTTCCGGATCTTGGGGGCCTGCTGGCAGCGTTTAGGGTTGGCAGAATGAGCCCTGGGGGGCCTGGCGGGCTTGGCCTTGGCTTGGGCTTCCATCTTCACCCCCTTGATGGCGAAGGCTGCCCGTGTCTCCACGGGGCTCCCGTTGGCGTGTGCTGGGCTGTTGGCTGCTGCAGGTGCTATGAACTCTGCCAGGTGAAGAGAAACCAGAGGAGGGCGTGTCACCTGACAGGGCTGGAGGCCGTGGGCAGCGGGAGCAGGGACCTGCCACACCGCACCCCGGTCCTCTCCACAGGAGCCCATGCAGGCCAGGGGCCCTCCTGCAGTGACTGCTCAGGGCAGGCACCGAGGACCCACCTTTTGGGCCTGGTTTTGTGGGCCTGGGCCTGCCTTGCACTGCGCCCTGAGCAGCCCATCCCCAGACACGACCCTTTCATGATGGGTCCCCGGGGGCACTGAGGTTCACACTGGACTGTGGTGCTGCCCCGACTGCCACCCACCCCTGGCCTGCCAGTCATGTTCCCTGGGCACTTCCAACTGCCCAGCAGCCCCGAACTTTATCCTTTGAGGTCCCTGTTTTTTCATGCTTTTAGAACTAGGAATGTGTTTTTGTACAGTAAGGATGTTGTTACTAAGAAGCAACTGTGAGATGTGAGCCCAGGGTTCACTCTCCCTCGTGGGGGCCAGCGGGGGGGGGCAGAGATGCCTGGGTGATGCTCACTCTGCACAGCTGCCACTGGGCACTGACCTGCGCCCAGTTGAGCTCCCTGAGACACTGGCTGGCTGGGGGCAGGGGACACTCTGAGCCCAAGGACAGGGTGCTGGCCCCGGCACCCCCGGGACCGCTGTCTGACCCGAGTAGCCAGACCTGTGCCCCCGCTCCGTCCAGTGGCTGGCTCTGCCTTCTCTTTCTCACCCGACCTGTTCCGTGAGCCCGGCCCAGGCTTCTCCTCCGGGCCTGGCTCTGGGCTGGCCCTGGGAGACTGTGGGCACAGGTCGTGCTCCTGCTTCCTCACAGGTTTGCTACTGATCCCAAGACACTGAGGCCCCATCCCTGAGCCCCGAGTGGGACTGAGGCTGCTGGCTCCTCCCAGGGGCAGCTCCCTGGGCTGACAGCGCCTAGCACATGGGCTTACACCTGGAACTTGGACGAACCCTGTGGACACACGTGGAGTGGAGGTGGCCAGTGTCCTCTAAGGGACAGCACTGGTCCCAGCTCCGTGCTGGCCTGGAGCCCTCCTCCAGCCCCATCCTTGTCCAGCCTGGGTGAGCTCTGGAGGGCTGTTGGGAGGCTGTGGACACCGAGCCTGTGCCCGTCCTGGCTTCCCAGAGCTGCGCCTGGGGCTGGGGTGGGACTCAGGAGGAGGAGTCCTCAGCCTGCCTGTCCTCCCTTCTTCGGAGCCACAGCCTGTGCTGATGGCCCTCGCTGCTACGGAGACTTCCTGCTCCCAAAGGAGCCCCCCGTGCCCCTCAACACCCCAGGTCCTCCCACCTCGAGCCCCTTTATGATTATGGGTTCAGAGATCCAAGTCTCAAACCTGGATAAAGGAGATAAAATTCACAAAAGGTACATTTTCAAAAGGTGCCTGTGGGGGCTGCACCACAGGGTCAGCCTGGCCAGTTCCGGCCCCAGGTACCCCCAGCCCCTCGGGGTCCTCACAGCTCGGCCTGGGGCCCCAGCAGACCACACGGCCACAGGCTGCTCTCTGCCCCCCTTGGCCAGAGGACAGCTGCTGGTGAGGCAAGGCTCTCCTTTTGCACAGAAGTGTGGCCAGGGCCCCAGCGGCCCCACCCGGTGGCACCCGTCTCTCCAGACCCACCCAGCACCCAAGTGCCGAGTGATATCCTCGTCCCGGACTCCCCGAGGTCTGAAGGCAGAGACAAGCTGCTGCACGGTCACACCCCTGGGGGGCCCTGCGGGCGAGGGACCCCCAGCTGGCTCCAAACCAGCTTTTGAATGAGACCCTCAGACGGCTGCGTGTGACGTGACCCACGAGGCCGGGCTCTGACGACTCTCCTCATGCCCTTGTCCTCGCCTCCTACTTCAAAACACCGCTTCTTCGGGCTGCCCATGCCCGTGCTGTGGACGGCCCGCGGCCTGGCCGGCCGGGGGCACGGTGGGCTGGAGTGTGGTCCCGTAACCAAAAGGTCGCGGGGCTGATCCCCAGTCCGGACACGTGTCATCCCTGGTCAGGGGGGCGTGGACAGGAGGCGGCCAGCGGATACTCCTCTCTCTTGTTGCTGTTTCTTTCCCTTCCTCTCTCTCTAAAACAGCGATGAGAAAAACGGCCTCGGGTGAGGACCGAACCAGAACAACTGAACGGTCCGTTATCTTTCAGAGAGAAATGTGCGTGTGTCCTACCCGTCTGCCGGCACGGCACCCCCTCCCCGAGTCGTTTTCCATCAGCCAAAGAACACCCTTTCCCATGTCTGCCGGCGACGAGGTCTAGCAGCTCCGTCGACGAGAGTTTTATTTTGCCTTCATCTTTGAAGAGTGTCTATGCTGCGTGTTGGGTCGTGCTTGACAGCTCTCAGCTCGTCGCCGGGGACCCGCCCCGTCGCCAGGCCGGCCTTGGTTCTCACCCACCTGGCCCACTGCCTGATGTGTCTCTTTTCTTCGGCTGCTTTGAAGGTTTTACCTTTTTCACTGATGTTCAGAAATTTGACCACGAGGTCCCCTGGGAGGCACGCATGTGTTTATCCTGCCAGTGGGGTAAACTTCCTGAAACTCTGAATTGAGTTTTCATCAAATTTAGAAAAAAATGGGCCATGATTTCTTCAGATACTTTTCTATCCCCTCCTTCTCCTCCTTTCTATCCTAAAGGTTTGAAGTATTTTTAGAAAGGGAGGGATGGAGGGAGGGAAACACTAATGTGCGGCCACCTCTCCCACACACCCCCGCCAGGGACCGGGACCACAACCCAGGCACGTGCCCTGACTGAGAATCGAACCGGGGACCCTTCCGTTCGCAGGCCCGCGCTCAGTCCACCGAACCCCACCAGGCAGGGCTCTTCTCCTGTCCTGCTGAACGGACAGATGCGACCTGGTCCCCTAGGGGTGTCGTTCTGTCTCCAGCTTCCCCGCTCTGCCTCCCACACCAGGGCTGCGTGGTCGCCTCACCCCACGGGCAGGGCCTTCTTCATCCGGGCTTCTCACTGCAGGAGGTTTTGTTTGTTTGTTTCTTGTATTTGAAGTTCTCATTATGTACACATTTTTAAAAAAATACTTGAATCTGGCCGTAGGAACTCTCTGAATGCTGCCGTCCGCTGCCTGGCTCCCCTCCAGGACCCAGGTCCCACCTTCTTGCCCCTCTGCAGGCCGTGAGGCTGAAGTGGGCGTCAGCCTTGTGAACATGGCCGAACTCCCCTGGCCACGTCCCAGGGCCGGGCCGTGTCCTGGTCGGCAGGGAGCCCCTCTTTCGGTTCCCGCAAGCACCAGCTGTACGCCCTTTCTAAAGGACCAGCCATCCCAGCGTCAGGAGAAACTACTGTAATCTGCCGAAAGACAAAAACTTGAAGAGAAAACCCAACACGCTAACTGTGCCTTCGCAGTGCTGGTGGCCCCTTCTGTTCCTCGTGGTCGTGGGGGCGGTGGCTCAGGGGTGAGACCGCAGTCAGGGCAGCGGTCCCTCTGCCGAGCAGCGGCCTGGTGGTGACACTCCTCCGAGCTTCCCGCTGCGTCTGCCTGTGACTGCGGATGCCTGGCTCTGTGCGTCCGGCCTCCTCACTCAGCTGGTGGCATTGGGGGGCACTTGTCACCACAGGGAGCCGGTCCCCTGCACACATGTGGCACAAGGAGCAACGCCTGGCGCTAGAGACGCCCGGCCCAGCCGGCACTGCCTCTCCCCCACGCCGCCCCCTTCAAAAGCTCCTTCTTTGTAAGAGTGGGTGGCCAGTGCCCTGCCCCACCGGCCCGTCCCCAGGGCCTGGGTGGCTGTCCCCCTCGAGACTCGTCTACCTTGCTGCGTCCTAACTCACAGGGAACACACACTGCCTGTGTCCCTGGCCTTCCTGGTCGCCTCTGAAAAGGGCCCAGAACCTGAAGGGCACTCGGTGCCCTCCTGGATGAACCGCTGAAGCGCGGGGCGGCGGGCCCCCAGCACAGCACCCGGGTGGCCCGTCAGAGGACTGTGCCCCCGGAAGCTGCGTGACCTGTCCACCAGCGTCTCCCCAACAGAACCAATGAAAAAGGAATTAAAAAGTGTCGACAAAAAATAAAATAAGTAAAATGGAAAATCAAACCAGTAAGGGGATCCCGCCTTTCACTTATCAGACTGGTGAGGAAAGAGAAGGCTGGGGGGCCAGGAGAGGGCTCAGGGAGCACAGAGCGGGAGGGGGAGCGACGGCGGACGCCCTCCAACAGGGGCGGGGCAGGCGTGGCCGGGGCCGGGGCAGGGATGGAGCCGCTGGGAAGGGAGGGACGCGGCAGGCCGGCTCACTCTTCACCTCAAAGCCTCCCCCAGCCGGAGAGGAGGAGGCTGGGCTCCCTTTGCCCCAGTGGCCGCCAGCAGCCCGTGACCCGAGGGCTGACACCGACTCACTGCACTCCCAGAAGGCCGAGCGCCTGCCCTCCCGGCCCCTGGCGAGGCTCCCCGCAGCTGGCCGCTTCCCAGGGCGCAGAGGGCCTCGTGTGGCGCTGCCCTCGTTTGTTGCTTAAGAGTGTTCTTCTGTACTTAGGGTAAAAGAGAAAGAAAGTCTTTCCAGTTCCATTACTCTGGAGGTCAAAAAAAGAATTACCTTAGATATCTGTGATTTTTTAAAAATCCTTACCCAAGGATTTTTTAAAAGAGATTTTATTTATTTATTTTTAGAGAGAGGGCAAAGGAGGGAGAAAGGGAGGGAAACACTGACCGGCTGCCTCTCGTTTGCGCCCCGGCTGGGACCGAACCGGCCCACCCAGGCCTGTGTCCCTGTCTGCACGATGCCCTCTTCCAGGGCTGGGTTTTGCTCTCACCTCCTGCCTGCATTTTATTGCTCGTCAACTTAAAAGCCCACTTTTTTAGCTTCAAGAGAAGCTCTGTCCACATGTCGAGACAAATCCCACCGACTGGGCACCACAGTCTGGGGGGCCCAGGTGACTACAGACTCAACACTGATTCCCGGGGCCAGTCTGCCTTCCCAGACCCCGCCCTTTCTGAAGTGCCTGGCGCCTTCCCTAACCTCCCACTTCGTCTGAGAATCCGGGCCCTACTGCCCCTTCCAGCCCCCTCCCTGCACACCTGCCCCGCCCCAAGCACTGGGAGCCTGCCCTGCAGGCAAGGGGTCGAGGGTCAGGGATGGTGCTGGCCCCGCCCACACTGTCCCAGCAGACAATCGAGTGAAGACAGATGAGACACGGAGACCTATGGGGGCTGGGGCTGGGGTGGCAGGAGCCAGCGGGTGGGAGACCCCATGGCACAGGGGTCCGCTGCGCAGCAGGGGCAGCAGGAGGGGCTGCAGGCGCGGGAAGGGAGGTGGGACCACTGCAGCCGGAAACAGCAGCCTCAGTGGCTGCAAAAACAGGCAGGGCGTGGGCTTCACACCCTCGGACAGCGGGGGATCGAAGAGGGGGCTGTGCCAACCTGAGGCCCAGGCCCAGGGCGCGCGGCAGGGCCAATGGGACCGTGGGCCCCAGGGAGTACGTGGGGCCTTGTCCTGAGTGAGGACAGCAGCCCGGTCAGGTGGCGAAGGTGCACATGGGAGAGGGGCCGCTCGGGCCCCACCTCAAAACCAAAGAGTCTGCGAAAGGCCGAGCTGAGAAAGCCGCCGTGTGGTCACACACTGAGGCCGGAAGCTGCTGAACTGCCCCGTGACCATTTTCGCCTCTGCTCCCGGAGGCACCCCCATGCCACGTGGTGCCGTCGGTGCGGACCAGCCTGCGTCTTACCCAGAGCTCTTCCCAACCCACGCAGCTCAAATACTCGAGACGCACGGGGGGAGCCCTGGTCCCCCGTTAGCCTGGGTGGGACCACCACCATGCTCACCGCCGCCCACGGTCCACAGCCCCACGGCAGCGCCCAGAACGCACGATCTCACCTGCTGGAGTGGAGTCGTCCTGGGAGGCGAGGCCGGAAGGGCTGGATCCCAGGTCCAGTAACTTCCAGGTGTCCTGCAGGGAGCTGCTGGCAAGGGACGAGGACCTCTGGGGGTGGTGGCTGCCACCCTGGGGGAGCCCGTGTGCCTGCCACAGCTCTGGGGACCGGTTCTCCTTCTGACGAGCTGACTTGCCAGTCGCTGTGAAGATTCTGTGTTGCTTCTGTAAAAGTTAGGAAAGACAGAATTATCCTTAAAAGCCACCCTCTCTTCAACCCAGAGGGGACAACAGGGCTCCTGTCCCCCTTTGGGAAGGTAACAAGACAGTGGGACCTCAGGGACCAGGACAGAGACCTGGGGAGGCAGCCCACGCTCTGGCCGCCAGGTCCCTCTGAGCATGGGGGGCGGCCGAGCAAAAGCGTCAGGACGGGGCTGTGGTCTGTAGTGACAAACTGTGTCCGAGGCCCTGGTCTGCGGCTGCCAGAACAAGCCAGGCAGGGCCCCGGTGTTCGGCCCTGCCCCAGCGCTCAGACCGGACCCTGCCCTGGCTCTCTGCAACCTGCCACCACCCTCACGCAGCATCCAGCCACCAAGACGACCGCCACTCGAGGCCACAGCCCTCTCCTGCGACACCCAGTGCTGTGTCCGCGACACCACACACACACCCAGTGCTCTGGGGCCTGCGTACCTGCGCCGGCCCCACTGTGCCTGCCGCAGTGCCACCGGGAGCATCACTTCTGCCGAGCGCGGGTGCTGCGTGGGGCGGGGTCTCTCCTGGACGCCCCTCGTTGGTGCTCTTCGAGTCCTGCCACAGGAACACCCGCAAAGGGAGGTCAGCGTTTGTGGGTCATCGACGGCTCCTGTTACTGAGCCTCCCTTCCAGGCTGGGAGGGGCACTCCAAGGTCGCTGGTACCAGGGACCTACTCTGCTGGGACACAAGCCCAAAGGGAGGGGCAGGCTGGTGCCCACCAGCCAGGACAAAGGGAGCCCCACTCCGGCTGCTCCCGGGGCGCCCACACCTGCACCCCGCCCCCCGCCCCCCACCAAGCATGTGGCTGCCCAGCCCTGCCGGCCTGCGCTCCCTGAGCGCGGACGTGGAACTCGTGGCAGAGCCAACTGCCAGCCGCCTGGCTCTCTCTGGTTTTGATTCACACTGAGCAAGCTGGAGAGATGACCACGTACCGACGCCTGCAGGACGTCCGAGAGAGAAAGGCTGGCGCCGAGCCCGGCTCCGTGCCGGAGCAGGGCAGAGGCCTCCCGCCACACGGAGGGCAGCCGCCCGCAGGACCCGGCCGCGCAGCAGCACCGCCTGGCAGGCGGCGCAGCAGCTGAGCTCTCCCAGCCTCCCGTGCACGGGCAGGCGGCGGGGCAGGGCCTGCTCTGGGTCGAGGGAGACACATGCATGTGCACTCACACGTGTGCACACATGCACTCACACTGACACACATGTTCACACGTGTGCACTTGCACGCAGGCACGCACGCGCGCACCCTGGACCAGCTGTGAGGCTGAGGATGGGTTAAAAGAGGTGACGGCAGAATCGAGCACGGAGCACCCAGTCCGGGGCCACGTCAACGGGGTGCATGTGTCCCGACGGCGGCAACTCCCGGGGACGGTGTGGGTGCCGTGCCCCCGCCCTCAGACACGCAGCAGCTCCATGCCCAGGGCTGGCGCTCACCGGCCTGGGGGTAAGCTTCTGTCTGTCTGTCTGTCTGCCACCTCTGACACAGGAGGAAGCCCCAGGGGAGAGAAGGCAACAGAGGAAGTGTAGTAGGAAGTTAGCACCGGGGAGTCTAGGTAACAGGTGTGTGTGCTACCACCGTCTTAAACATTTTATTTGTTTTCGGAAAGAGAGGAGGGAGGGAGAAACGTTGATGTGAGAGAAGCACCGGCTGGTCGCCTCGCACGTACCCGACCGGGACCAAGTGTGTGCCTGGCTGGGGGTCGAAGGGGAGACCTTTCGCTCTGCAGGATGACCCCACCCCACTGGGCCACACCCAGGGGGCTGTGCTAGTCTCCTAACTTCATGCCAGGTTAGGACTACTGAAAAATTTAAACAGTGAAAAAACAAACGCAAGCAAGAGGGCGGATCTTCAGCACAAGACACACACGCAGACCCAGAATCAGTGACAGTGAGGGAGACACGCAGCTGGGGGTGTGGACAACCGTCCACCCAGACTCAGAGCAGATCACCAACCGTCAGAGTGCCTGACAGAGCTCGTTAGGGCTTTTAAAAAGTTATCTGTGGACTGAGAACTTGAAAATTTAAAAAGCAAATGACAAGTTTGAGAAAGATGTGTAACAGAAAAGTGGCAATGTCCTTAATATATTAAGAGCTCTTACAAACTAACAAGTAGAAACACACTTGTAGTAAAATTTCCAAAGCACGTATATAAATAAGCCACAAAAGGAAAAACAAATACCAAAGAACAGATTAAAAAGTTTAGTATCACTAGGACTTCCGCCAAGATGGAGGCATAGGTGGAAGTACTGTGCCTTCTCATGCAACCAAGTTTAAAAGCAACAAAGTTTTAGCAACAAAAATGCAGCCAAACCACAGAAAACTGAACTGTATGGAAGTCTGACAACAATGAACCCTTCAGCAAAACCGGTAAGAGGGGCAGAGCCAGCAGCAGAGCGGGGTCGGGCAGGAAAGATCCACTGGACCAACCTGGGTGCACGACCCAGGCACGCAGGCAGCCGTGGGCAGATCCCAGGTGCGGAGAAGCGGGTGGACCCACTGAGGGCTGACCACGGTCACACATTCACGCGCAGATAAACCGGTGAAGGAGCGAGCGGTGAGACAGACCATGCAAGCCCCAGTGGTGGGAAGCGGCAGAGGGGACCACCATTGTCCCTCTCTGACCCCGCCCCCACCTACAGCGTCACAAACCATCAACCTGGGTGGCCCACCCTGGTGGACAACTAAGGCTCCTCCCCTCATACTTAACAGGCACGAACAGATCAAAACATGGCTCAAGAACAACTCAGAGCACCAGAGCCGATAAATCTAAGTGATGAAGAAATAGCCAAACTTTCAGATGCACAGTTCAAAACCCTGGTGATCAGGATGCTCCCAGAACTGGTTGATTTTAGTCACAAATTACAGGAACATATGAAGACTAAACTAATTGAAATGAATGGAAATACACAGGAAACCAATAGTAATGGAAAGGAAACTGGGACTCGAATCAAAGGAGTGGAC